CTCTGACTCACATCTCCCCATCACCCCAATTTTAAAAAGGTTGTATAACAAGATAAAAGAAAGGAGCATTTGTGAAGGGAAAGAAGCAGAATAAATGGAACCAGAAGAAGTAGAGGAGGAGGAATCTGTGATCAAGGCAAGGGCGTACTCCGCGGCAGTGAAGGCTGCAAGTAAATCTCACATTGTAGCCAACATTGCGTCCACGAGGAATCATCCAGCTGAGCTGTTTCAAACAGTCAGAGGTTTGTTGAACCCCGCCACCTGTGATGGGGTCCCTGGCCCTCCAATCGCTCGCTGTGAGGCATTTGCTCGGTTCTTTGCGGATACAGTAGCTCTGATTCGCTCTGACCTGGACGCCACAGTTACTGCAGTCTCTGAAGATGTAGCAAGAGCTGCTTGTCCGGTTTGAATGGATTCATTTCAATTTGTGCAACCTGAGGACGTTGACAAGATTCTTGGAGAGGCGAGGGTGACCACGTGCACCCTGGACTCCTGCCAATCCTGGCTGATAAAGGAAGCCAGAGGGGGTTTGGCAGAGTGGGTCAAGGTGGTGGTGAATGCCTCCCTTGGAACGTGTGATTGCCTCTCAGCTCCAGGAGTTGATCCATCGCAGTCTGGTTTCAGACTGGGACATAGAACTGAGACAGCCAGTGGCAGATGGCACCTTCATCCACTGGGAAGTGAGTCCAGCTGGGCAGTAAATGGCACAACAAGATAAATCAGTCTACACGGCTTGCTTCATGACTATGTGCCAGAGGAAGGAAGAAGGGTCTAAGGAATTCCAACTTACGACAACACTATGGGACTTTTTGTTTAACTTGTGTTGATGTGCTTTATGTTTGGAGATCAGTGCACAGCAACAAAAAAAAGCAGTCTTCACATATTTCATAGACTTTGATTCAATGACCAGTGTCCTCTGGTCATTGAATGTTACAACCATTGTAACATGTACCATGCTATCATTTGCTTGCTCGGCCATTGAGGTCTTATTTCTTCAGACCATAGTTGGTCTGGTTCTTCCCCTGTAACCTTGTCACCAAGGGATACCCTTCTGGGAATACACGACTCCTGATGGGTTCGCTCACAGGTTTACTGGAACACGTGAGCCCCTCACCACAACAAAGTGATGAATCATCTAGGAGGAGTAGCTATACAGAGAGTTACTGGCAGTTAAGTCCAACTTTAGCAAAATCTGACTTGGCCACGGTAGTCCACGCGCTGGTTACATCCCGTATAGATTACTGCAACGCTCTCTACGTGGGGTTGCCTTTGAAGACTGCTCGGAAGCTACAAATGGTCCAACGATCGGCAGCCAGGTGTTAACAGGAGCGGCACTCAGGGAGCATACAACTCCTCTGTTGCGCCAGCTCCACTGGCTGCCAGTTTGCTACCGGGCACAAATCAAAGTGCTGGCGTTAGCCTATAAAGCCCTAAACGGTTCTGGCCCTACTTACCTCTCCGAACGCATCTCCTCCTATGAACCAGTTAGGACATTAAGATCGTCTGGGGAGGCCCTGCTCTCGATCCCGCCAGCCTCACAAGCACGGCTGGTGGGGACGAGAGACAGGGCCTTCTCCGTGGTGGCCCCTCGGCTGTGGAACGCCCTTCCCGCAGACGTTAGATCGGCTCCCTCCCTGCTGGTGTTCAGGAGAAGAGTGAAGACCTGGCTCTTTGAACAGGCGTTCAATTAAGCAGTGCAATCAATTGACTGAATTTGGAACTGGAATAATGGATGAGGAGATCGGATTGTGATTTTACTGATGAGACGTGACGGATTAGTTATTGGATGTATTGATGTTTGCTCATTTGCTGATGTATTGTTGTATTGTTTTAACTGCTTAATGACTGTTTAGATGCTAATGCTATGCACTTTGTATATTGTCCTGTTGTAAACCACACTGAGTCGCCTACGGGCTGAGATAGTGCGGTATACAAATAAAGTAAATAAATAAAAGTAAATAAATAAAAACAAACCTTTATGGCCTGTTTTCTCTGTCCTGGCCTATCTGTTGTGACTCAGCGTCTGTCTCATGTACCTACTAGTAGTAGTAGAAGGAAATGAGGTTTGGAAGAGGAAGATGCTCAGCAACAGCTGAAGCGTATTAGAGACTTGTTCCTAGAGCCTACGGATGAGGAGGATTTTGAGGGGTTTACTCGCGAGGAAATGGAGGTGGAGGATTACCGCGGTGTAAAGCGAGTAGCACGCAGCTTGGATAGTGATGAGGAATCTGTTGCTAAACGCCTTAAAGATGTAGCTGATTGTGAGGAGTTTGACAGCGAAGAGGAAGAGCTGGATTGGACCAAGGTCCAGGAAGTGTTAGATGTGGTTAATGCTCCCACTTCTAGTGATGAGTTCCAGGGTTTTACTGACACTTGGGTTTCAGATACTACTTTGCAGGATGCAGTCCCAAGTACAGAATGGCAGCAATGGAGAAGTCGGGATTCACCTGTGGAAATGGATGCACCTGAAAGTAACTCCAGCGACTCGGATGAGATTTAAGGAGCAGTTTGGGAGCAGTCTAGTTGCAGAGTTCAAAGTGTCGTGTTACCGTGTGCCTTGTGTTTAACTCTTGCCCTGAGCTCCTGCTTACAGCTTCGTGGATTCCTGATTGTGTGGACGACCTTGCCGGAACTGGATTCGTGAGTCTTATCTCCTGCCCTGACCCTCGGACTGCCTGACCACTCTACGCTCCTGCTTATCCCTTGGTGACTTCGTTGGACCGCTCCTCATGCAGATTGCTGTTTGCTGTTTTGTTTGGATTTGCAATGGACTGAGTTTTTGCCGCTGACTTCAAGCCTTACTGCCTGTGTTATTGCTGCTTTCCTTTTCCCAGCGAGGACTGACTGGGACTTGGTTTGTTTACATTCTTGCTGGCTGCAAGCCCTTTTGTGTTTACCGCTCTGCTTTTAAGAGCCCTTTTTCTTATGTTAATTGACATTAAAGACCTTTGTTTAACTCCTTAACTGCTGTCTTGCCTTGCTGGTCCGCCTGGGTCTTGACACTATCTGCTTTTGAGCATAGTTCACCAGGTATGGATCCTCTTTAACCGAGGTCCTAGTTTACCACAACACTGTGACCTTGCCACCAAGGGAGAATTTTCTGGGAGTCCATGACTGCTCTCAGAACAAGTAAGGCCCCTCACCACAACAAAGTGACGATCCATCAGAGGAGTAGTTATATAGAGAGTTAGTGGTAGTTATGTTTCACCCCCCCCCCAACCAAGCCTTGGACTCCCTTCCTCTATGCAGATGCCCTTCCTTCTTGAGACCAGTTATTCAGAGAGATGACCAGAGGGTATGGACGCCAGAACAGTTGAATCCTAATGAGAAAGCTCACAAGAAAGCCTCCAATCAACTCATACAAAGAACAACCTTCCCCCAAAAGCAGCACAGCCAAGTCTCCCAAATAACACTCTGAAACCGGGAAGGTTTGATCCAAGAGACACAAGCTCTCTTTATGTGGTCTTTTCACCACACCCAACAAAACACCCCTGTTTTGTTGCTAGGGGCCAGAGTTCTGATTGGCTACTGTCTCTGGCTTGCTGCTGAGACAAACGGTTTTAACTGCCACTTAAGCTGTCTGATGCTTGGGGGTCCCTTCAGATGCAAAGAGAAAAGAATGCTGAAATTTAAAAAGTAGCTTTGAACAGCCAGATGTGTTCAAAGTGGCTGTTTTCATGTTGTGTTGCTGTGTACCTCAAGTCATGTTTGGCTGATGTCAACCCTAAGGACATAGACCCTTTCATGAGGTATTGGGAAGAGTTGTTCAGCAGGTTGCTGTTGTGAGGATTTGAAAAGAGATGCCATGATGTAATGGGTTGACTGGAAAGACATGTGTTGGCAGCTGATTGGCTGAGCATGCCAGGGGTCAGAGTTCTGATTGGCTGCTGTCTCTGGCTTGCTGCTGAGACAAATGGTTTTAACTGTCATTTTCACTTTGGAGAGTGAAGAGAGTGCTGACTGGAAAAAGCCAGGAAGGAAATGGCTGCCAACTCTCTGAAGCCTGATCATTTCTAAGGCATGAAGCATATTTTAAAGACTGTTTAAAAGGACTGTTTATTCCGTCTGTTCTCTTTGTGCATTCAGAGAGACCATTGTATATATTGCTGCCCTGTTCGATCTTTTGAATTGAAGTAAAGATGCTGTTACTTGTTACACAAGACCAAGTGACACTTTATTATACTGCAGGGCATATCTTGGTTCAGAAACTGTGGTAAACCTTCTGTTTATTTACATGTTTGCCTTCCTCCAGGAACTGGTGCACCTGCAGTGGTTGTTCTCTCACTACGGGCATGAGCCTGTGGAAGGAAAGAGACAATTATCCCAATGAGAGGAGGAATTGAGCCTAGGGAGCAGGGCATGAGAAGGACACCAGTGTTTTCACTCTTCATTACTAATGTTACTATTATTATGTGAATCCATTGTTATTTTGAATCCCCCAGTGACGCAGTGGGTTAAACCCTTGTGCTGGTTGGACTGCTGACCGAATGGTCTCCTTTACGAGAGGAAAGCAGGATATTCATACTATTACTAATAATAACAATACAATATACACAATGGCTACTATAAAAGTGCTTTTAAAAGTTAAATAAGCCATTATAAAACTATTAGGTAAAGGTAAAGGTTTTCGTGTCCGACTCTGGGCTGCTGCCAGAGTCTGGCGTATCTCCATTTCTAAGTGTTTTGTTTGCGGGGGGAGTTGTTTTTGTGCATGTGCTGTAGCATCTTTTTGCTTTTCTGGCTTTTTAAGTCTCTTCCACTGTGTTTTCAGTGTTTTTATGAGTGATGGTCACTTGTTGGCCTGAAACATGTATCGAGTCCAAATTTGGTGTCAGTTCGTCCTGTGGTTTTTGAGTTCTGTTAATCCCACAAACAAACATTACATTTTAAATTATATAGATATATGCATGCACCATCTAGCCCTCACGCTTCCTTACCTGGAACTCATTGCCCGGTGAGATTAGGAAGGCCCCCACCTTAGAAACTTTCAAGAGGGATCTCAAAACCTGTTTTTCCGATGCGCTTTTGGAGAGTAGCCATATTATCATACACAGTTGCTCCCCCTCAACGGTTTTTGTCCCCAGAGTATATTTCCCCACCTGTATGAAGGTCTATATTTATGACCCCGTTCCTTACGAGTTTCTCCCCCACAAACAATCTGCTCCATCCCTATCTCATCCTGATTTTAGTATTTTTAGTATCTTAGTTTTTATCTTGCACATGCAGCCCGCTCATTGTTATGTTATGTTATGTTATTTTACTGTGTATGATTTTGCTTTATCGTTTTTGTACTCATATATTGTATGTATTTTACTGTGTTGTTATTGTGTTATAGTTTTACTTTATTGTAATATGCTGTTGGGCTTGGCCTCATGTAAGCCGCCTTGAGTCCCCATTGGGGAGATGGTGGCAGGGTATTAAATAAAGTAGAAGGTAGAAGAGGCAACAAGAGGATTGGCTACTCTTGATCTCATCCTAACAAATGCGGAGGACCTGATCGATGCGGTCGAAGTGGTAGGATCCTTAGGGGCAAGTGACCATGTGCTCCTGCAATTTGAGGTACAAAGGAAGGCCGAAACTAAGACAAGTCAAACCCGCATTTTGGACTTTAGGAGAGCTGATTTCCAAAAAATGAAGGAAACACTGAGCAGCATTCTGTGGACACAGATACTAAAAGACAAGGGAGTTACGGATGGATGGGAGTTTCTCAAGAGTGAAATACTCAGTTGCAAACCGTGCCAACAAAAAGAAAAAATAGTACAACTGCAAAGAAGCCAGAATGGATGTCCAAAGAACTTCTAACTGTGCTAAGACACAAAAGAGACATGCACAAGAAGTGGAAAAAGGGAGAAATCACCAAAGAAGAATTCAAACAAATAGCCAACACCTGTAGAGAAAAGGTCCGCAAGGCTAAAGCACAAAACGAGCTCAGGCTTGCCAGGGACATTAAAAACAATAAAAAGGGCTTCTTTCTTATGTCAGTAGAAAAAGGAAAAACAAGGAGGCGATAGGGCCTCTTCGAGGAGAAGATGGGGCAATGCTGACAGGGGATAGGGAAAAGGCAGAACTACTTAATGCCTTCTTTGCCTCGGTCTTCTCACAAAAAGAGAGTCTTCAACCTCAGCAAGATGGAGTGGATGAGGGATTGGAGGACATCCAACCCCAAATTGGGAAAGAAGTCGTCCAGGAATACCTGGCCGCTCTTAATGAGTTCAAGTCCCCAGGGCCAGAGCAACTACACCCCAGAGTATTGAAGGAACTAGCGGAAGTCATTTCGGAACCATTGGCAACCATCTTTGAGAGTTCTTGGAGAACGGGAGAAGTTCCAGCAGATTGGAGGAGGGCCAATGTGGTCCCAATCTTCAAGAAGGGAAAAAAGGATGACCCAAACAACTACCGTCCGGTCAGCCTCACGTCGATACCGGGCAAGATTCTGGAAAAGATTGTTAAGGAAGCGGTCTGCAAACACTTAGAAACAAATGCGGTCATCGCTAATAGTCAACATGGATTTATCAAAAACAAGTCATGCCAGACTAATCTGATCTCTTTTCGATAGAGTTACAAGCTGGGTAGATGCGGGGAATGCCGTGGATGTAGCGTACCTGGATTTCAGTAAAGCCTTCGACAAGGTCCCCCATGACCTTCTGGCAAGGAAACTAGTCCAATGTGGGCTAGGCAAAACTACGGTGAGGTGGATCTGTAATTGGTTAAATGGACGAACCCAGAGGATGCTCACCAATGCTTCCTCTTCATCCTGGAAAGAAGTGACAAGCGGAGTGCCGCAGGGTTCGGTCCTGGGCCCGGTCCTGTTCAACATCTTTATTAATGACTTAGATGAAGGGTTAGAAGGCAGGATCATCAAGTTTGCAGACGACACCAAATTGGGAGGGAGAGCCAAGACTCCAGAGGACAGGAGCAGGATTCAAAACGATCTTGACAGATTAGAGAGATGGGCCAAAACTAATCAACAGGGACAAATGCAAGATACTCCACTTAGGCAGAAAAAACGAAATGCAAAGATACAGAACGGGGGACCCTGGCTTGAGAGCAGTACGTGTGAAAAAGATCTTGGAGTCCTCGTGGACAACAAGTTAAACATGAGCCAACAATGTGATGTGGCGGCAAAAAAAGCCAATGGGATTTTGGCCTGCATCAATAGGAGCATAGTGTCTAGCTCTAAGGAAGTAATGCTACCCCTCTATTCTGCTTTGGTTAGACCACATCTGGAATATTGTGTCCAATTCTGGGCACCACAATTCAAGAGAGATATTGACAAGCTGGAATGTGTCCAGAGGAGGGCGACTAAAATGATCAAGGGTCTGGAGAACAAGCCCTATGAGGAGCGGCTTAAGGAGCTGGGCATGTTTAGCCTGAAAGAGAAGGCTGAGAGGAGATATGATAGCCATGTATAAATATGTGAGAGGAAGCCACAGGGAGGAGGGAGCAACTTGTTTTCTGCTTCCTTGGAGACTAGGACGCGGAACAATGGCTTCAAACTACAAGAGAGGAGATTCCATCTGAACATGAGGAAGAACTTCCTGACTGTGAGAGCCGTTCAGCAGTGGAACTCTCTGTCCCGGAGTGTGGTGGAGGCTCCTTCTTTGGAAGCTTTTAAGCAGAGGCTGGATGGCCATCTGTCAGGGGTGATTTGAATGCAATATTCCTGCTTCTTGGCAGAAGGTTGGACTGGATGGCCCATGAGGTCTCTTCCAACTCTTTGATTCTATGATTCTATGTATTGCTGGAGTCTTCCTTGCAGTATCTTGAGCATTACCTTCCTGGCATGCTTTCACTGTATATGTGAAGGGGGGGGCTTTGACCTCCCTTTTCCACCTGCAGAGGCGGCCCTAGGTAATTTTCAACGGTAAGCAAACAGTATTTTGGCGCCCCCCTCCCCAACCAATCATTGATATATATTTTCTGTTCATCGTGGGAGTTCTGTGTGCCATATTTGGTTCAATTCCATCATTGGTGGAGTTCAGAATGCTCTTTGATTGTAGGTGAACTATACATCCCAGTAACTACACTTGCCGCACTTGCTCCCTTGCCTGGCCCGCTTTGGGTCCGGAGGCGTGCCTGAGGACCTCGGCGTGTGCACCAAAAGTCACCTCTTCTCCTGACTTTCTCCTCAGCCATTGGGACCAAGAGCGAGAGAGAGAGAGAGAGGTGGAGATGCCCACCTTTCCTGAAGGTAGGCGCAAAAACAAAGGAGGGAGCGGAGGTGGGAGATACCTCCAGCCGGAGGGGCTCTCTCTCTCTCTCTCTTGGTCCCAATGGCTGAAGAGAAAGTCAGGAGAAGAGGCGACTTTTGGTGCGCACGCTGGGGTCTTCAGACACGCCTCTGGACCCGAAGCAGGCCAGGCGTGGCGGCTCTGCCCCTTGGCCCACCCGCGGATTGGGGAGAGGAGAGGAGGCGGGTGGACCGGGGGATGGGAAAGGGAGCCGGTCATGGGGAAGGGATCGAACGGTAGAACGATTGAGCGCCGGCTCTGCGTCGCACCCGGTGGCCGGGTGGAGCAGGAACGAGAGGGGCTAGGCGAGGCTCAAGGGCCCGGCCCCTTTGGGAAGAGGATCGCCCGCAGTGAGGCAAGAAAGTCGAGGCTCCCCCCGGACTGTTAGGGCTGTTGTGAGCTGAGGGGGCGCTCCTCAAGTGGCGGTCGAGGGGCATTTCAGAGGCGCCTCTGCGCCCCTGGCAAAAAAAGTGTTCTGCGACCGCTTACTTCATGTAATGGACGAGCCGCCCCTGACCGCCTGGATGTTATTGGGGTGGCATCGGGGCCTCCGGCGGGCTGCATCCCTGGCCGGAATGAGGAGGAGGACAAAGCACATCCACACACACACATACTTACTCATACATACACATACTAGCCGTCCCCTGCCATGTGTTGCTGTGGCCCAGTCTGTGTATATGTGTTTTTTGTGTGTATATATTTGTGTATATGTGTATATATGTGGTTTTGCACATGCGTTATAATGTATTTTTTTTTATATTGTTGGCCTGATAGTCTTTTCTGCTGTGTATTTCAGTATGAGTGATAGTCACTTGTTGGCCTGATAGTTGTATTATGTCCAAATCTGGTGTCAATTCACCCAGTGGTTTTTGAGTTATGTTAATCCCACAAACGAAGATTACATTTTTATTTATATAGATTTATAAAAAAATCCATGAAGCAGCGAGTCCGCGTAAAGCCAACTGCGAAGTAGTGTGGGAACACTGTAATCTGGGATCAGAACCCAGCATATAGGGCAGTGTAGATCAAACCTCATTCAAGTTGGACTTAGGGCAACTAGCCAGTCCCGAAAAAGGAAGTTTCTGGATGCTTCATTTTCCATATATCATTTCATAATCATTTTAGATTATAACACTGGAAACTTGGCTGAATGTTTAAAGACACCATTTGGCATTGTCCTCCTCTTACCTGTTGAAGGCATGTCGATTATTTTGTCTGTAGGGAATCCCATTGAGCCCGCAACTTGCTTGAATTTTTCCTTTAAGCTGTCTGATCCTTGGGGGTTCCTGGCTACAGATGCAAAGAGAGAGGAATGCTGGAATTTAGAAAGGAGATGAACAGCCAGATGTGTTCAAAGTGACCGTTTTTGTGTTGTGTTGCTGTGTGCGTCAAGTCATTTCTGGTTGATTGCAACCTTAAGGAGAAAGACCCTTTCATGAGGTATTCCTGGAAAGATTTGTTCAGCAAGTGTGTTGTATCATTGCCTTCCTCTGAAGCTGAGAAAGCGTGATGTACCCAGTTGGCTTCCGTAAATGAGCTGAGATTTGAAACCTGGTCTCTCTCACACAGAGAGACTTCTCTCACACTGAGAGCTTTCTCAGACTGAGGTGTTACTAAGCAAATGGGTGACTCCTGTACGTGTGAAAAAGATCTTGGAGTCCTTGTGGACAACAAGTTAAACATGAGCCAACAATGTGATGTGGCAGCAAAAAAAGCCAATGGGATTTTGGCCTGCATCAATAGGAGCATAGTGTCTAGATCCAGGGAAGTCATGCTCCCCATGCTCTATTCATCTGGAATACTGTGTCCAATTCTGGGCACCACAATTGAAGAGAGATGTTGACAAGCTGGAAAGTGTCCAGAGGAGGGTGACTAAAATGATCAAGGGTCTGGAGAACAAGCCCTATGAGGAGCGGCTTAAAGAGCTGGGCATGTTTAGCCTGAAGAAGAGAAGGCTGAGAGGAGATATGATGAGGGTCATGTATAAATATGTGAGAGGAGCTGGGCACGTTTTGTCAGGATTAATTGAGTTATGTATGTGTTTTAAATGTGCTTCTATGTATTGCAAATATGGATGCCACTGTGAATTGAAAATGCTGTGCAGAAATGTTTAGGCTGTGATTAAGTGAACTTGAGAAAGTAAGATAAGCTTTGTTCTGGTGAGAAACTGAAGGGAGTTGCCAGCTTCTCCAGCAAGAGAAGATAAGCAGATGTGAAGAAGTGTTTTGGCTTTCGGTTTTGACTAGTTCTCTTCCTGTATGTCGCTCGCTAGAGAAAGATGTGTTTGCTGTGTGTGCTTAGTAAAACTTAGTTTTCTTTTGTAACTCAAAGCTTTCAGAGTCCTTATTTGCAACTCAGTGTCTGTTTGATCTAGCATTCCTTCCGCTGGACATCGACAATCTCTGACACGTTTAGCCTTCAGAAGAGAAGGCTGAGAGGAACACATAGAATCATAGAATCATAGAATCTAAGAGTTGGAAGAGACCTCATGGGCCATCCAGTCCAACCCCCTGCCAGAAAGCAGGAATATTGCATTCAAATCACCCCTGACAGATGGCCATCCAGCCTCTGTTTAAAAGCTTCCAAAGAAGGAGCCTCCACCACACTCCGGGGCAGAGAGTTCCACTGCTGAACGGCTCTCACAGTCAGAAGTTCTTCCTAATGTTCAGATGGAATCTCCTTTCTTGTAGTTTGAAGCCATTGTTCCGTGTCCTAGTCTCCATGATGTTCCGCGTCCTAGTCTCCATGATGGCTGTGTATAAATATGTGAGAGGAAGTTATAGGGAGGAGGGAGCAAGCTTGTTTTCTGCTGCCCTGGAGACTAGGACACAGAGCAATGGCTTCAAATTACAAGAAAGGAGATTCCACCTGAACATTAGGAAGAACTTCCTGACTGTGAGACCTGTTCAGCAGTGGAACTCTCTGCCCTGGAGTGTGGTGGTTTTAAACAGAGGCTGGATGGCAATCTGTCGGGGGTGCTTTGAATACGATTTTCTGTCAGTACTGTGGTTTTACTGTGTGAAATACAGTTTATAGTTTTAAACTCTGTCTGTGTCTGGTGCAGGACAGAATGCTATGTAATGCTATGCAATGGTTAAAGGCATAGATGTGATTTATTGCCTAGAGCGTGAATTGTGACCATTTCCTGTATACGTCACACATTCCAATGACGTGGATTTGTCGTGATGGCATTGCTGGGTGTCCTCTTCCAGCCATGCCGGGGAAGAAGCAAGACGCGTGTGTGATTTCTCCTGTACATAGTTATGTTTGTTATTTTTTTGTAGCTGTTAGAAAGTAACTAAATAAATGTGCCACTTCAAGGCTTTGAAGTTGATTGAAGACTGCACACATTGCCATTGTTTACTCTGAACAGAGCATAACTAGAGATTTCCTATATGTCGTGATGGCATTGCTGGGTGTCCTCTTCCAGCCATGCCGGGGAAGAAGCAAGACGCGTGTGTGATTTCTCCTGTACATAGTTATGTTTGTTATTTTTTTGTAGCTGTTAGAAAGTAACTAAATAAATGTGCCACTTCAAGGCTTTGAAGTTGATTGAAGACTGCACACATTGCTATTTCTTACCCTGAAGAGAGCATAACTAGAGATTTCCTATATGTCGCCATGCCATGCCATGCCATGCCCACCCTCACCTCACCATGTGCCCGATGGCATTATCTTCCAGGATCCCATCAGACATACCTTCAAAATGCAGGACGTTTTGTTGCCCGGTCTCAACGTGAACAATGTGGTAACTCTCATAATCTGTGTCTACTATGCGGATAGTGCTCCCAGCTTCATTTCAAAGAGAATGACAGAAAACCAAATCAGATAGGGGAGTACAACAAAGAAATACGTATTTGATTCTTCTGCGGAATACACACACACATACACAATTACTATAACCCTGTGGATGATTCCCATCCACAACAGACTCAACTGGTCCAGATTACCTGGCCAAATGTACCTCCCATTAAGAACCATCACAAAGTTTAAGATCAGCTGGGGAGGCCCTGCTCTTGATCCCACCATAATCGCAAACGTGACTGGTGGGGACAAGAGACAGGGCCTTCTCAGTGGTGGCCCCTCACCTCTGGAACTCTCTCCCCAGTGACATCAGATCAGCCCCCTCCCTCCTGTCATTGAGAAATAAACTCAAAACTTAGTTACGGGACCAAGCGTTGGACTGATAGAGGCAGCAATTGAGAATAAGACTCAAGTGATAGGAATGACAATAGACTGACCCGGACTTGGATAAACAAACAAACAAACAAACTGCTGAATGGTGATGGGACACATTAGTAAATCTCGTGGATTCAATAGGTCTCCTTTAGTTAGGACTACCAATAGGATTCAAGGCAAGATAGTACTATATTTTACCTAGAAGATAATGGAGCAGGAACTACACCTTTTGTATAATCTTATTGTAAGCAGCCTCTCAAATGTATGATGGACGACGGGGGCTGCAATGTCAGTGGCATGAGGGATCTCATCTGGATTACAGTCTGAATAGTAATTATATTATTCCTTGGCATATTCCCAACAAAGGCAGAGGTAAAGGTAAAGGTTTTCCCCTGACATTAAGTCGAGTCGTCTCCGACTCTGGGTGGTGGTGCTCATCTCCATTTCTAAGACGAAGAGCCGGGATTGTCTGTAGACTCCTCCAAGGTCTTGTGGCTGGCGTGATTGCATGGAACGCCAATACCTTCCCGCTGGAGCAGTACCAATTGATCTACTCACATTTGCATGTTAGGTGCCCTGACAGATTTGTGAACATCCTGCAGCTCCTCCATGATAACATGATGACAACAATCTTGGACAGCAGTGGCTCCCAAAGAGACCCATTTAAGGTAGAATCATGTGTCAAAAAGAGATGTGTTATTTCCCCAACCTTATTTTCCATCTTCATTGCTATGATACTTCATCTTGTTGATGGGAAGCTTCCCACCGGAGTAGAAATCATCTATCAGACAGACGGCAAGCTATTTAACCTCAGCAGACTGAAAGCCAAAACCAAGGTTACCACACATCTGTTATAGAACTCCAGTATGCTAATGACAACATCATCTGTGCACATTCAGAAGAAGACCTACAAGCCACTCTAAACACCTTCGCAGAAGCATACGAGAAGCTCAGCCTGTTATTGAACATTGAGAAAACCAAAGTGCTCTTCCAGCATACACCAGCCAATCCCTCTGCAATGCCAGAGATACAGCTTAATGGTGTTACATTAGAAAATGTTGACCATTTCCGCTCCTTTGGCAGCCACCTCTCCACAAAAGTCAACATTGATACCGAAATTCAACATCGCCTGAGCTCTGAGAGTGCAGCATTTTTCTGAATGAAGCAGAGAGTGTTTGAGGACCAGGAAATCCATAGGGAGACCAAAGTGCTTGTTTATAAAGCTATTGTCCATCCAACCCTGCTATATGCCTGAGAGACGTGGACTGTCTACAGGCGTCACATGCAACTTCTGGAACGATTCCATCAGCGTTGCCTCTGAAAAATCCTGCAAATCTCTCAGGAAGACAGGTGGACAAATGTCAGCGTGCTGGAAGAAGCAAAGACCACCAGCATTGAAGCAATGGTACTCCGCCATCAACTCCGCTGGACCGGCCACCTTGTCCGGATGCCCAACCACCTTCTCTCAAAGCAGTTGCTCTACTCCAAACTCAAGAACGGAAAATGGAGTGTTGGAGGACAGGAAAAGAGATTTAAAGATGGGCTCAAAGTCAACCTTAAAAACTGTGGCATAGATACTGAGAACTGGGAAGCCCTGGCCCTTGAGCGCTCCCGTTGGTGGTCAGCTGTGACCAGCAGTGCTGTAGTATTTGAAGAGGCACGAATTAAGGGCGAAAGAGAGAAACGTGCCAAGAGGAGGAAGGCACATCAAGCCAACCCTGACCGAGACTGCCTTCCACCTGGAAACCAATGCCCTCAATGTGGGAGAACATGCGGGTCAAGAATAGGGCTCCACAGCCATCTACGAACCCTCGCTAGGCCACCGCACTTGGAGGACAATCTTACTTGGATAACGGGTAAGTAAGTAAGTAAGTAATGAAATGGTACACTACCAGATGCAATTATGCAAGGCAATTTGGCTTTCAGTTGTTAGACTGATAGCCTGCTGTCTCTGATTTGTTAGGAAACAGAGAAGATGTCAGTGCATAAAATAGCAGTGCTTCAAAAGTGTTTCTCAGTTGCCCAAAAGTACATCTACTCTCCCATGAATCAACTTGTTTTATATTATGCACTCAAGAGTCAAAATGAAGTTGACTTTGGTAAAAAAACCAAACATATTTGGTTGACTCACAACCTTCATGTGTTCATCATACACAGGGACAAAACTTATCAGTCCAGTTTCAGATATGTTTGAGATAATTGTGTTTGTTGGCACATCTTGATCTGAGCAATCCCAAAGTCTAAGAAGTATGAGGTCTGAGCAGTTTCAGAGCCTAATCGTGTGGTCTGCAGCCCCTCCCACAACTTCTCAGGAAACACAGAGCAAGGGAAGAAAGCTGCATTCCAGAACATACATACATACAATGTGTAAGCAACAGGATTATTTGCAAACAATTTACTAGAGGAGGCTTGAAGAAGGTTGTGATTTCCAAGGAGGTAAGGTAATGGTGGACCACACTCACTTAAATTCCCTTCAGTGCCAGGCAGGGATTCTCACACTCACACTCCCCTTACCTTCTGTTGTAAATTTACCCGGCTGGTCGGTGTGCAAAAACTTAATTATTTTTGTGCCACACACTCCATTCCTGCAAAAAGAACCAAAACTTACAATTAAAGGGCTGGTAAGATCATAGACATTTGCACCTGCATGATGCTTTTGAGGCAGTAGGGGGTGCCATGTGATCAAGCAATTAATAGTATTGTTGAAGGCTTTCATGGCCGGAATCATTGGGTCGTTGTAGGTTTTCTGGGCTGTATAGCCATGTTCTAGAAGTGTTCTCTCTTGACGTTTTGTTTGCATCTATGGCAGGCATCCTCAGAGGTTGTGAGGTCTTTTGGAAACTAGGAAAATTGGGTTTATATACCTGTGGATATATAAATCCAACTGTGGATGTAACCACCATTTAGTAATGTGTAAGTAAGAGTTCATGGGTGAAAGCCATTAAGGGTGGAGGTATGCAAGAGATAGGTTGCAGCTGGGTGTTTGTGGATATAAGGAGCGAACCTTGGAAATGATCTTCGGGAGAAAAGTATTGTCATATTTTGGTGGTGGATGCTGCTGGTTTTCCCCCCAGGTCTGTTGGATTTTCAGTATCCTGACCTGTCTCCTGTAATCTTGGAACCCTTGAACCTTTGGACTGGCTTTTGACTATGGTATAGACTCTTGATCCCTGGACTTTGTTTATTGAACTCTCGGCGTTTGACCACTGGACTGGACCCTTTGACTACAGTGTAGCTTTTGCTATCGGTTTTTGTTTATTCTGTGGCTGAGTGCTATCTTTATTTTTATATTTTGGTCTATTAAAACAGCCAGCAAGTAAGTGCTGTTTTAATTAAACTGTTTTATATCAAACTGGGTTTTTGTTTGATTCACCTCTGCTGGAAATAACAGCAGAGTTCTGGCAACGTGACAGACTGAAACCTGTGGATTTACTACCCTGTTCACATGGGATATTTTGGCCTCACTGATGCCCACAACAGGGGAAACACAGCGTTCCCTCGCTACTTCGTGGTTTGCCTTTTGAAGACTCGCTGTTTCACGTTTTTTTTTAAAAAACCCCACGAATTTAAGATATTTAAAGCAAGTAGCGAGGGAACACCAAGGCGGGAGAGAAAGAGAGGGGGGGCACCTCGTCACTGCCTGCGCCCCCTTCCCGGCTCTTCTTCTTACCTCTGGGGGTGGCTCTTCTTCCCTCCTTGCCCTCTTTACCTTCCTCCTTCTCCTCTGCGGCGCTTCCCTTCTCAACACAGCTGCTCCTCCTCCTGCTGCTCCTGGGCCTCTTGCTGCTGCTTGGGCCCCACAATGCCTCTGCCGCCTCCTCAATCGCACCGCGGCTGTGAGGCCCAAACAGTTGCAAGAGACCCAGAAACAGCAGCAGGAGGAATTGTCAGTATACTGGTTTTACTAGTGTGAAATACAGCTTATAGTTTTAAACTTTGTCTGTGTCCCGTGCAGGACGGCATGCTATGCAAGGGTTAAAAGCATAGATGTCATTTATTGTCTAGAGCATTGTGCTGGCACGGCAGTGCCAGGAGATTTGAATCTCTTTTTCTTGCTTTGCTAGTTTGTATGAATTTATTTAGCCACGCATTTTGCAATCAGGTAGCTTCCCCAGGTTGCAGCAACCTGGCAATCATCGTTAGAGTTTTTAGACCTGCCCCTTTTCCCAGGGTTTTGGAGGCAAAGGAGGACTTTTGTTCAGTCTCACTGTTTGAAGCCTAACAGCAGGATGTGTGGATTTCTCTATCCCACCTTCACAAAGGCTTCACTACTCACAGCTCTGCTGGGGGAGTAAAGGGATAGTCCCACAGCTTTTGCTGGGGGAATACAGCCAGCCTTTTCTGGGGCAACAGGACAGTTCCTACAGCCTTCGTGGAGTAAAACTAAAGGACACCTTTTAGCTTGGCAGATCTACAGCAACCTTGTCTGGTAAGGGACCACTATCCATAAAGTAGCTTGGAGCCGGAAGTAGGGGCCTCACGCCAGCAAGGTAAAGAAAGATTGCCCAGAAAGGGGTCAGAAGATTTCCCTAAGGAAGAAAGGAACAGTTTACCACCAGTTGCCTGCTCTTGATAGCAGATTGAGGAAGCTACCGGTTTTCCAAGGTTATAAAGAATTTAATTCATTTGTTTGAAGATTTAAGCCCAAATAAAGAACGTTGTTGAACTTATTTTGAGTCTCAATAGAACTTTGTGTTGGGAAATCTAAGGGGCCCTTCAGCTGAGGCACCCCGGTGTTCCATTGGGCATACAGAGAGCACGTCCTGTAAACAGACATTATTTCAGGCCCAGCGTGCGACAGCACAAGCATAAACTGTGAACAGTTCTGAGATACGTCACACATTCTAATGACGTGAATTTATGATAACGGACTGCTGGGCGTTCTCTTTCAGCCATGCTGTGAAACGAGCAAGATGAGTCTATGATTTCTCCTGTACATTGTTCTGTTATTTTCTGTAGCTGTTAGAAAGTAACTAAATAAACATGCCGCTTCAAGGCTTTGAAGCTGATGGAAGACTGTGCACTCTGTTTTCTTTGTGTGCCTCATTGCAGTTGCACTGAGGATGAATTGTACTCACAGGAGCTGCAGCAGGAGGAGGTGCTGAGATTCCTGCTGCCCCAGAAGCAGAGAAAGAGGCACCTCGTTGCCACCTGGGCCTCTTGCCGCTGCTTGGGCCCCACAGCCGTAGTGCGATTGAGGAGATGTCAGATGCATCGCAGGACCCAAGCAGCGTTAAGAGGCCCAGATGGTGAAAAGGTGCCTCTTCCACCACTTCTCGAGCAGCAGCAGCTGTGACGGGAAGGGAGGCATCGAGGAGGAGGCAGGTAAAAAGGGCGAGGAGGGAAGAAGAGGCACCCGAGAGGGAAGAAGAAGATCCGGGAGGGGCTACTACTTTACGGAATAATTTCACCTATCACGAGTGGTCGTGGAACGTAACACCCATGATAAATGAGGGAACAATGTATAACAAAAAATCATTGTGGTTTTGTCTTCAAAAATTTTGAGAGAGGCTGAATTTGAGCGAGCCAATTCATTGCTGTTTTCTACCATACTTAGATTTTGGCTCCTGCAAACTTGCAAAATGAGGAAAATTAAGCTGGGAGCCAGTTGGTTCACCGGGTAGAAAAAAAAGGAATATTTTCCAAAAGAAACAGATAAATATAACAATTTAAGTAAACCTACTCCAGTCCTTCAACGCCAATGTCTACGTCTCCGTTGTCCAAGGGCGTCACTGTTCTTGAAACAATTTTAACATCATTCATCCCCCCTAGATCCATTACTATCTGGAGAGGGTACCACTTACCAGCCATCTAGGAGAAAAAGAGAGAAACATAGAATCATGAAATTATTGGGCCGAGCTGTAGCACAGCGGGTTAATTACCAGCTTCAATAGATCACTGCCGACCAGAAGGTGACAGGTTCGAAGCCCGAGTTGGATTGAGCACCTGACTGTTAAGCCTAGCTTAAGCAGTTTGAAAACAGCTGAGCTGTGAGCAGAGAAATTGACTGCTTAAAGCAGGGAGGTATTTTATGACACCATAAAAATGCCATACACTGAAAGACTATGTCCCTGTGACTCAGGTCTCATAGAAACAATGGAGCATGTGCTTCTGCAGTGCCTGTTTTATAGAGACATTCGATCTTGTCTCATCTTGCCATGGACAATTAAATTAAATACCCAGGACGCTCTGGACGATACTAGGTAGCCCTGCTGCTCTCAGTCACAAACTCGGCTGTGACGTACAATGTCGCTAAGTTCTGCATGGCTATGATTAAAATCTGGCAGACAATAATTGAGAGTCAAAAGACCTAAGCTTCACCTCTGGAATATAGATGGGAAATCAGATACAGACTGATATTTATAGTGTTGGATATTCCCTCCTCTCTCCCTCCCCTGGTGCCATCCCCACTACCTCCCTTTAGACTGCCTTCGGATAATCTTGTGGGTTGAGTTGGGTTTTAATAACTACTTGTATGTGGTTTTTAGCCTAGATTTTAAAATTTGTTGAAGTTTAAAGCATATAACCCATTTGGTTTGACGTGGATGTGTGGGACTGGGCCCTCCTGGGTCCTCCTGTTATGATCTGGTCATCAACCGTAATAAAGTTTTCTTACTTACATAATAGGCATGGTTAGGTACCATCAGAATCTTCGTAATTTGGAATAAAGTCAGAAAAAAATACCTTTTCGAAATAATTTCAGAGTTTTTAAGAAGGCCGGAAGTCCCTTTGCCCTTCCGAAGCTTTTTCTGCCATTTTTGTTATGACTCATGAAGTGAGTCGGAAATTATTCAGCTTTTCCTCGCTTCTGGTCCCTGGCCTCGGCTCAAGCCAGAGAAGCCAGTTTTAAAGCCAGAGAAGGAAGGAATTTCCTCAATTTGCTTTTCCGCATTTCTGGTCCCTGGCCTCGGCTCAAGCCAGAGAAGCCAGTTTTAAATCCAGAGAAGCCAGTTTTAAATCCAGAGAAGCTAGTTTTAAACCAGAGGAGGAAGGAATTTCCTCCACTTGCTTTCCCCCACTTCTAGAGTAAAACAACTACTTTCAAAGTAAAAACCACACAATGGAATAGGAAATAATACTTTCAAACCTTTAACAAAAGGATTATTATTATTATTATTATTATTATTATTATTATTATTATTATTTTATTTGTACCCCGCTAGCATCTCCCGAAGGACTCGATGCGGCACATAGGCCAAGGCCTCAAAACACAATACAATACAATACCTAAAGCAAATTAAAAACAGTTAAGCAGTATAACAACAAACATAAACAATACATCAAGACACTATAAAACTGGGCCGGGCCAGAGTAATGGGTACAAGATTAAAAGTGCTGATGTGGCAGGAGTATGTAGGATTATAAAGTAAGTGCAGTGTGTGGTGTGCAGCAATCTTAGTTCTACTAAAGTGCTTCTAGGACTTGGTATTGGAGATTCCTAATCTGAGAAGGCACATCGGAATAGCCAGGTCTTCAAGTTCTTTCTGAAGACTGCCAATGTAGGGGCCTGTCTGAGATCTTTTGAGAGGGCGTTCCAGAGTCGGGGGGCTGCCACAGAAAAGGCCCTGTCTCAAGTCCCCACCAAGTGCGCTTGCGATGCAGGCGGGATCACGAGCAGGGCCTCCCCAGATGACCGAAGTGAAGGCGTGGGTTCGTAGACGGAGATGCGGTCACGCAGGTAGGGTGGTCCCAAATCGTTCAGGGCTTTGTAGGTAAGCACCTGCACCTTAAATTGGGCTCGGAATATAAACGGCAGCCAGTGGAGCTCCTTGAACAGGAGGGTTGACCTCTTTCTGTAATGAGCCCCGCTTAACATCCTGGCTGCTGCCCGTTGGATCAGTTGGAATCTCCGAGCCGTTTTCAAGGGCAACCCTATGTAGAGCGCATTGCAGTAATCCAATCTAGAGGTGACCAAGGCATGGACCACCCTGGCCAGATCAGCCTTCGCGAGGTACGGTCACAGCTGGCGCACAAGTCTCAATTGTGTAAAGGCCCTCCCAGACACCGCCGACGCCTGAGCCTCAAGCATAAGCAATGAATCCAAGAGGACTCCCAAACTGCGGACCTGTGGCTTCAGGGGGAGTGTAACCCTGTCCAGCACAGGTTGCCACCCTATACCCCGATCGGTTTGCGATCGACCAGGAGGACCTCTGTCTTGTCGGGATTGATCTTCAGCTTGTTCCTCCTCATCCAGATAGACACAGCGGCCAGGCACTCGTCCAGCACCCGAGAGGCCTCCTTGGAGTTAGGTGGAAAAGAGTAGTAGAGTTGTGTGTCATCTGCATAGAGATGGCACCCAACTCCAAAACTCCGGATGACCTCTCCCAGCGGTTTCATGTAGATGTTAAAAGCATGGGAGACAGAATAGAGCCTTGCGGGACCCCACAGGTCAAAGGCCAGGGGTCCGAGCAGGCGTCTCTCAGCTTCACCATCTGGGATCGACCCTCCAGGAAGGACCGGAGCCACGACAAAACCGTGCCCCCGAGACCCATCCCAGAGAGTCGACCCAGAAGGATACCATGATCGATGGTATCGAAAGCTGCTGAGATGTCCAAGAGAACCAACAGAGTCACACTCCCCCTGTCCAGCTCTCTACAGAGGTCATCCACCAAGGCGACCAAGGCTGTCTTGGTGCCGTGACCAGGCCTGAAACCCGACTGTGACTGATCTAGGATTTGGAAGTCTCTGAAGTTTTAAACATTTTTTTTTCTGTGAAAATTGGAATTGACTTTAGAATCGAACCACCAGCACCCCCTACATTCGAAACGAGTTTTGAACCATTTTCTTTTTTTGGATGAACCAAGCCTATTACATAAAAATGCCAGCTGTCAAAGAGCAAGGAGGAAATACGATCAAAATGACATGGTGTCATAGTGGATGACGAGACAGCTCCCCCCTGTGGCCGGAATCGAGCATAACCTCCAGGCGCTGAAGTTGAAATGCCAGAAATACCTCTGTCTGCCTGTATGCATGTCTAGAAATTGGCATTGAACATTTGCCATGTATTTGTGCATTGTGATATGTCCTGAGTCCCCTTCGGGGTGAGAAGGGCGGAATATAAATACTGTAAATATATAAGCAATCAATCATAGAGACATAGGGTACCCTAGAGGCTATCTAGTCCCATCCCCTACCATGGAGGAAACCATAATGAATGTTCTGCCAAGAGGTGGCTAAATAATATATGACTAAAAGTTTCCAAGAAGGAGAAAGGTCACAATCAGAGAGGTTTTTGTCAATTTCTGCTCTCGGATGGTATTCAGCTAGAATTCCTGTCCGGTCTTAGAGACTATTCCTTGCCATTACCTTTGTGGCATCAAAGTTTGCCTGTATGGGTATATCGGCTGCAACGCAATAGGAGCAGGCAATAGCCCAGACCATGCCCAACACCAGTGCTTTCATCCCGGCCATGATCCTCTCGGAAATTATCTGGAAGGGTCAGGTAGAGTGGTTGCTCTCTGGGGGAACTGCAGAAATGAGAAGGAGAGGAGTCTTTATATATAGACACCACCAATTCCCACACCTGGCCTGTTCCGAACACGCCAGAACATTCGGTGACCATCAGGATCTGTTTGGCCAGACTTGAAAGGGGATAAGCCGGGATCAGAGAACCTATCCAATCCCACACGTCTCCACCCACCCTTTGGAAAGAGGAGTGGGAGGCATCTCACAGGAAACAACTTAGTGCCAGAGAATGTTAGACTATCCATAAAGGCTGTGGAGAACTCTACTAACGTAGCACTAAAAGCCCACATGAACAAACATCTCCATCCATCACATACTCCATTGGCTGCTGTTCATTTTCCAGGCCCAATTCAAGGTGCAGGTGCTTACCTACAAAGCCCTAAACGGTTTGGGACCCACCTACCTGCGTGACCGCATCTCCGTATACGAACCCACACGATCTCTTCGTTCATCTGGAGAGGCCCTGCTCACGATCCCACTTGCTTTGCAAGCGTGATTGGTGGGGACGGGGGACAGGGCCTTCTCAGTGGTGGCCCCACGACTCTGGAACTCCCTCCCCAAGGACATCAGGCATGCTCCAACATTGGCAGTCTTTAGAAGGAGCTTGAAAATATGGATGTTCCAGTGTGTCTTCCCAGATTAAGGAATCCCAAGCAATATGTCCCAAATGCACTTCACGAGAGAGTTAGAATTGTCTGCATACCCACTTATCCCTAAAATTTCCATCCTATTTCACCTGGACATGCCCAGCATTTCTAAAAATTTTAATCATTACATTTGTCCCTGCCACAGGTTTTTAAATGCGTCGTGATATTTTTGTTATTGTTTTGCTTTGCTATGAGTTATTTATTGTATTGTTTGTTGTTATGTTTTTTGTTTCTGATGTATTTGGGCTCGGCCTCTTGCAAGCCACACCGAGTCCTGCAGGAGATGGTAGCGGGGTATGAATAAAGGTTTATTATTATTATTATTATTATTATTATTATTATTATTATTCCCCCTCCCCCCACCACAAGGTGCTGGTATATAGCTAAAAGGACCGGGTTGTGGCGCAGTTGGCTTGGAATCAACTGCGTTAAATCATCACTGACTGAAAGGTCATGAGTTCGAAGCCAGCCCAGTTTGGAGTAAGCGCCTGACCATTTGTCTAGCTTGCTGTTGACCTTTGCAGCCTGAAAGACAGTTGCATATATCAAGTAGGAAATTTAGGTACCGCTTATGCGGGGAGGCTAATTTAACAAATTTAAGATGGCATAAAAATCTACAGTAGCGTGCAGAAGAATGAGGAAGTACTCCATCAAGGACTCGGTGTCACAAGTGGACCATGAAGCGACAGCTCCCCTGGTGGCCGGAATTTGAGCATACCCTCATAAAGCTTAAATTGCCTCTGTGTTTGTCTATATATGTTGTGTGTCTATGGCATTGATTTTTTTTTGTCGTGTCAGGAGTGACTCTTGGTGTGAGAGAATTGGCCACCTGCAAGGACGTTACCCAGGGGATGCCTGGATGATTTTGATGTTTTTATCATCCTTGTGGGAGGCTTCTCTCGTGTCCCCGCATTGAATGTTTGCCATGTATATGTGCACTCACTGCACTGTAATCCGCCCTGAGTCCCCAGCGGGGTGGGAAGGGACCTGTGGGATTTTATCTACAGTATAAATACTGTAGATAAAAAAATAAAATAAGATTGGTCTTAATCTGTTCTTATGTTGCGTATAAGATGACAACAACCGGCTGCTATTACAGATATCATGATATGAACCATTGCATTGAAACGACAAGTAACAAAACCAAATCCATTACTTTTAGTTATCCCATTTTGACATTTTATTGCATTGCTGCAGTCACGCAGGGTGCCTTGTGGCACCCCATGTACCTTCCCTCCTTCCTATGGTGGTGATGGGACAAGGCGCCCTAGCACCCTATCCTCATCAGATGGGCGAAAGGGTGGCAACACGATTGCCATGTGGCCCTTTCCCCCATCAGGTGGAGGAAAGAGCTACCTAAAACACACCTTCGTGGCAGACGAAGTGTCTTGGGATACTTCCCCTCTTCGGGAGGAATGGGGGCATAGCCAAGTCAGTGTCATTTGATGGTGCTTCTTGGCAGAATGGGTTTGGACTGGATGGCGCACAAGGTCTCTTCCAACTCTATGATTCTATGACAGCATTGAAGGGAAGGGCCCATCTGATGATGATGTGAGAGAAAGTTGTGAAATTCTGACCAATTAGAGCAGCGTTTCTCATCCAGGGAGTCAGGACCCCTGGAGGGGTCACGAGGGGGTGTCAAAGGGGTCACCAAAGACCAGCACAGTATTTTCTGTTGGTTATGGAGGTTCTGTGTGGGAAGTTTGGCTCAATTCTATCGGTGGGGTTCAGAATGCTCTTTGATTGTAGGTGAACTATAAATCCCAGCAACTACATCTCCCAAATGTCAAGGTCTATTTTCCCCAAACTCCACCAGTGTTCACATTTGGGCATATTGAGTATTTGTGCCAAGTTTGGTCCAGATCCATCATTTTTGAGTCCATAGTGGTCTCTGCATGTAGGTGAACTACAACTTCTAAACTCAAAGTCAATGCTCACTAAACCCTGCGAGTATTTTCTGTTGGTCATGGGAGTTCTGTGTGCCAAGTTTGGTTACATTCCATCATTGGTGTACAGAATGCCCTTTGATTGCAGGTGAACTATAAATCCCAGCAACTACAACTCCCAAATGACAGACAGAAACAGACAGAAAGGAGGTATGTTGTGTTGACATCCAACTTTTTGGCGCCTAGGAGGTTGTGCTCAAATCTAGCCACAAGGGGGTGCTGTTGCTCCATCCTCTATGATGAAGAGCCATCAGGAATCTTTCTGTTTGGTCACTGGCATTTTCTGGTTTGTTTCTTTTATCATGTCGTAAAATATCTCCCCCACTTTTTAGCAGTACCTAATTTCTGCTTAAAGCTCTAATCTGTTTTCAAACAGTGAGCTGAGTTGACAGTTGGGTGCCCATCCCGACCGGGTTTTGAACTGGTAGATCTTATTGCTGCTGGTGGTGATTTACCAGCTGTGCTATAGTGTTGCAACTCAGAGTAGGCTTCACCTTGCTTCTAAACACCACTACACAAGAGCTGTAGTTTTACAGTTTATTGAGGAAAAATCCAAATAAAGAATAAGCAGTGCAAAGTTACAGTTTATTGAGGAAAAATCAAAATAAAGAATAAGCAGTGCAAAGTCCCAGAGATGAAGGTTAAATGCAGAATACAGTTCCAAAGATCTTCAGGTAAAAGCAGGAGACATAATCCTATTGGCAAAGTTCAAACCAGAGTCCCAGGTACAAGCAATGAAACAATTGCCCCATGAATCACAATGCAAGAAATCCCAAGCGTACTGCTTTCCAGCCTAAGGTTATTCCATGAAGCTTTCAGGCTAATAAGCTACGTTGAACTGACGCTTTCACAGAGTTTCCAGGAGGCCTAAATACCTTTCTAACATCAAAACATTAGGCTCTCAGCATCATAAAAGCATTGCGATGACCTCGCACCGAGCTAGCCTCCCGTCTGCTTGCCAGACGCAAACTCTGCCTGACCCGGCGATCAAGACGAGCTTCTCGGGTCAAATTCTTATCTACACTTTCGGTATCATCGTGGGAAGGCACCTGTTCGCTATTCCCTTCATTAAAATTCCTTTCTGGTGAAAACAGCTGTGTTGACACTGCACTGTCTGTGAGAGCTTCGGAAGCAGGCTCAGAGATTTGAGGCACAGACAAAGAGCCAGGAAGCTGAAACCCAACTGGAATCTGAATCCCATCATCCTCATCGTCAGAAACTAGCTCAGTCACAACACAGGCGGATGGTATTTGTGGCACAAGTGCCAATGAATCATCTGAGCAACAGTGTTGTGCCTCTGCTTGTAGTCTGTCTGGGCAATCTTCTTCTTCTTCTTCTTCTTCTTCTTCTTCTTCTTCTTATTATTATTATTATTATTATTATTATTATTATTATTTTCTATAGCAGTGTAGATGGGGCCTTATAGACCATCCCTTCCCCCAGTTTTAATCGTTATTATAATTTAATCCCAAATTTTAAAGGAAATGATAATCCTATGCATTTCCATTATCAGAATTAGACTTGATCTTCCGTTATTTCCTCCTTCCTTCCTCCTCCACCCGCTCTTCTCATAATGATCCCCATCTAATGGCATTACTGCAGCTCCTTGTCCAGATCTCCCCTTGGAGACTTGCTGACTACTTAACACCATTTTTCACTTTCCCTACTTATGCATATACATCTTCACTCCAGTTCAGAGGATCTGCTAATGGATGGCGTAAGACGAGCCCCCCCTTCCCTTCCCTTTTCTCTTTCTGTGATTCCAATGAAGTGTGGCACGACTCACAGGTGAGAGATCTGAAATTCCAGCCGCCATTGTTCAGGAGTAGATGCAGAAGTATCTGGAGCTTTGCGCCCCAAAGGAAAAATATTAATTTGAAGGCCGGAATAGCTTTCTTCAAATATTTAAAATGATTTCCACACAGAAGAAAGAAAACAATTATTTTGGAGTGCCACCGTGGGAATGGCAGAAGAGCCAAGGGTTTGAAAAAGCAAGGAAGTAAAACTAGCAAATGTCGATTGGCAAGTGAAGGGCAGAGATTAGAGAGCAAACATACTAATCCAGGCAAAAAGTCATGTCGGGTTGATACTAAAGACTCTCGGTTCTTCCTGTTTGCTTCAGTTTGGGGTAACCGTTTTTTTAAAACACTTATAACTGTACCCTCAATTTGCATCTGACATGATAGATAAATAAATAAATAAATAAATTTGTTTATCATATT